ACACACACACAATAACCTATTTTATATATAAGTATGATATATATATATATATATATATTTTATATATATATATATATATATATATATATATATATATATATATATATATATATATATATATATATATATATATATATATAAAAAATAGAGTAGATAAGTTGGTCAGTAAAACATAGTTAAACAAAAGCGTACCGATGAAAGCAGTACGGAAAAACATTTAACCAGGTGACAAAAATGAAGCACGGGGATTGAGGTTCCAATTTCGGAATTTTCGGACACGCCTGTGTTCTTCATCAGCGGATGCGAAAAATAAACAGAGGGGCAGTGGAGACTATCCAACATTAGTTCTTGAGGCTGGATAGAGGCGCTTGTAGGTGGAATTGTTAGAAATAATCCGTTCCGTGTTTGATTTTTCGCTGTGCGAAACTTTGTGTGAAAATAACCTTATATTTAAAAATTGTTATTGGTAGTGGGTGGAATGTATACTGGCATTTGTATACATCACGTATATAATACGTTAAAATTTTCCCTTTCACTGTCATAGCTTAGAGGTAGAATCTCTGACTGATGCCAAATCGATCGATTTTCGATTCCGGCTTGAAGCAATCGGATGTCTAGTTACACTGATGAGTTGTGATACAGCGAAACAGGCTTATATATATATATATATATATATATATATATATATATATATATGAAGTGGAAAGATTATATTGAATCAATTGCTAAGTTTTTTCTGCTAGAAACATAGGTTCAGTGTGTCGTGTTTGACAATTTTTCTCACCAGATTCTATCTTACATATATATAAGTCTACCATCCGTCCATGAATTCTAAAGATTTTTGATAAAATTCAAAGAAGAATTAACAATGTTATCGGTCTTGACCTGGCATCTCGGCGTCACTTTCCCAACTCCGTAACGCATCTTGTTCTATGAATATTTTCATGGTAATTATTCTGATGATCATTCCTTTTGGTATCTACACTTTATAAATTTAAACGCAGTATTAGATTTACGGCAATATCTCATCATTTTACAGATGAAATGGCTAGATGCAACCGAAAGTTCTCCGCTGAGATTTTCTTCTTTCGCACTTCTTGCCTGTGGTACTCTCTTCCAGCTTCTTCCTTTCCAGTCAATTTGGATCTTCAAAAATTTAAATGCAGTTCTCATCGTTATATTCACCTTTCTTCATTCATGTTGTTTTATTTTTCTGTCGCTTTAATTATGTTTTACCGTTTCTTATTCTTTCACATCCAATAACAACTTGCATCTTAGTGACTTTATTACCATGCTTATGGTGAAATAATTAGAAAACATATATTCATATCAAAAAGCAAAGATGGAACCAGGCGAGAAGAATTGTCAAGCACGATACAGTGAACCTATGTTCCTAGCAGCAGACTTGGCAATTGATTCAATATAAGCT